TTGGTTTGTAATGAAAAATATTAATGATGAAAATGTTTCTATTCTTCCAGGTACTTCAAAAATCTATAGACTACATCCAATACTTACTGCAGCAGAGGCGAAGGCAGGAAGATGAGCGGAATGCGTTGCGCAAAGACGTAGTGGCGTTGCGCATAATGCAGGCTAACTACGAGCAAATCGTGAAGGCGCAACATTCGGTACCAGGGCACAATGAACAAAGACTTACTGACCAAGATAAGTTTAAAGTGGTAAGTTACTAGGATTTTCTGCTTCCTGTAGATTGTTTTGAAAAGTTTAACATCATATTTAGGTTCAAATCCGAAATTCAGAGTTTGGTTTTGATAACATAATTTCGCGTGCATCTTCGTCCTCGTAGTATTTAGGTAGTAGGTCCAAATCCTGCAAGATCATCAGAATCTGCTATATTGTAACATGATGTAAAAAGTAAAGTTTTATAATCTAATTTCATTGCTTATATGGCACAAAAAATATTTTTCCTCTACGTTCACATGAACAGTAACACATTTTGTAATTTAAAAACATCATTCTCTTCCTTTTTAAACTTACAATCTAATCTACATATATAATTATGAACATTTAAATAAGTATTTGAAATTCAGTTCCAGGGTATAATGGACAAGTTGTTCGAGTCATTCGAGTCGGTGCCGACAAATAACTTTGCGGAGTTTTCGGCGGGAGTGTTCAACTGGCTTGAAGAGTACTGTAAGCCTCAGTCCCTGAGAACCATGGTTCACGGCGTGTTGAGGGAACAAAGTTATACGCCATAAATACATTACATACATTCATACATATTATTTGTCTTGTTTAAAGTAAATAGTTATGTAAAATGACACGGTACTACTAATTAAACTTCGATATGATTGACATGATTGTTATATAAAATTTTATTGCTTTGATCTTTTTTGATGGTTGTAATTTTTTTAAATAGGTTGTTTGAAATCTCAATCATGTTTTTTAAACCTTATAGGTAAATTGTTAATTTAAATATTTAGTCGAAGTTTTACTAGTAGTTTCTGGATTGCTCTGTTTTACCTAATATAGATTACATACAGTTTAATATTTATCTGCCAAATATACATAAGCAGATATAAGCGATAGAGCGAGTGATAACGTCGTAATAATATGTTCATGTGATAAGAAAACTCGTATCTTTACTCCTATTACATATTCGTTCAATGTTATTCAATTTGCACAAATAAGACGTATATTATTATTATATGTTTACTGTTATTGGAATTTATATCTATTAATTAGATAATTTAAATATATACTATAATTAGTATGAAATTTTACTATGTTGTTTGGAAAAGTGTATATGAATTTAATATATGGACATGTATTTTAGTAGAGATGTGCCGACTGTGACTGGCTGACGACCCAATTTTGGTTGTAAAAGATACGTCTAATCATGCCTATCGATTATATCGATTATAGTCATTGGTCAATTTCTATAACGTTTTCTTACTTGTTTGTCGTTTGCAACTCATCCGTGTTATTTTAGCCACAATGAGAAGCGAAACATATCTTCTCATTTTCCTGATCTTATCTTAAGTACTTCTTAGATAAATAAGTTACTAGTTAGAGTTGTGCAACATATCTATCTCTTCATTTTGTTGTCAGATTTTATCGTATCATAACTATGACATTCACACTATACGCAACTTTTATGCCTGCCATTACATGTACGTTTAACCAACTCATCGCTGACTACCAAAATCACCGAATAATCGGTATTATCGACTAGTCGGCACATCTCTCATTTTTACGTTCCAATAGTCTATTTATTTCTTATAAGAAATTTAAAAAGTTATTTTTGAAGATCGTGCTTGTCATGTAAGCTTTGTGATAAAAAGATGTTCGCCAGAATTTGTTCAAGAATACGAATGTCAATAACTGATAGTGCCTTCAACAGTTTGCTGTTTTCAATTTAAAATAAACACATGTTTCGTTATTTCTCTGTTTTATTGTCATATCGGTATGTTTGCTTACCCCTAGAGCTACATATTCTAAGACATTAGGTAGGTTATTCTAATTAGAATTTACTTAACTTTGCTATGGAAAAGTGAGTCTATATTATATTTGCAAACAATGAGCCTAGTTAACGCCGAAAGTAATGTTTTCTAAACAAAATTAACAATAAGGAATTAACACGCAGTAGTTAAGTAATCTAAATATTATCTACTTAAAAAATTGTGATCTATTAAGGCTATAGGAAGCTAATAACATAAAGTATGAAACAGACATAAAAATTCCAATAACATTACGACTTGGTACCTACTACATGGAACGAAGTTGGTGTGTAGCACATACCAGCCCGATACCTGCTACGAAGTTGACAGCTACAACGCTACGAAGGCGTAGCAAGCGTAGCACTGTCAACAGAAACTTACCGACTGCTGTAGCTTTCGTAGCTGTCCACCGACAGCAGAGGTTATTAGTTTTCTATTTACCACAAGATTATTAGTTTTTTATATGACACAAAAATGTACTCTAAGAATGACTTAGTAATACTAAAAAATCGAACAATGCAACACTTTCAAATAAAACCCTAATAAGGTACGATGTACGAAGTAAAACCACAGTAAAACGTACCTACTACGAGTAGAGGATATCATAAAATAGGTATAGATTAGTTACTAGCAGCTATATCAAAGCTGTCTACAAAACATCCCATCAATATACGTCGAACACTAATAAATTAAAACAATTTATTAGAGTTATAATGTTCGACATGTTAATGTTTTCATCGTCTCCCACAGTTTTCATGATTGATTATAACATAACATAACATCACGTTGATTATCCCCGAAGGGGTAGGCAGAGGTGCACACTACGGCACTTAATGCCACTGTACAATGTAACATCCACTTTTCACTTTTTATGTTATGAGTCCCATGTAATAGGGGGTGAGCCTATTGCCATATACCTATGGATGGATGGACGGAGGGATGATATTATCAACTTGATAATTCTACAGGTGCGACCAACGTCATAATAATTTTTTTAATTAGTGATTTCAATGTTTCTTTAGAGTTGCAAGTAAGCAAAACACGATTCCCGGGCAATGGCTCTTTTAAATGATATTCCACAATATACCTACCAGTGTGCCAGTTACATTACAAGTGAAATCGAAACACCTAACGAAAAATGGAATTCAATTCTCATGGACTTACAAACACAACTCCGAGGAATTGTTTGACTTGATACCTGCCGCATCTTTTCGCCATCGACCCTCACAACAACATATGCATCTCCATCATATAGATGGTTGGCAGGCCACAACTGTGCGCTTCTCACGTAGCTTTCTGCCTAGCACAGCAAAACTGTGGAATCATCTGTCGTCAGCGGTATTTCCGAACCGATACGACCTTTAAACCTTCAAGAAAAGAGCATACTCCTTTTAAAAGGCCGGCAACGCACCTGTGACTCCTCTGGTGTTGCGGGTGTCCATGGGCGGCGCTGATCGCTTACCATCAGGTGATCCGTCTGCTCGTTTGCCTCCTATTCCATAAAGAAACACACCATCAATTAATAGGTTACTTTTAGATTTTTTATTGACACTTTAGAATTTATTTTGTTTCATTTTAAATCGGCAGTACCTACATATTAAATCATTAATCACCAACTTCCAAACTGCACATTATGTAAGTAGATACCTACTTGGATTCTCGATAAAAATATACTTAGGTACCTATAGTTCTTTCCAACTGCAATGCAACGACCTTTTCCGATTTAACCCATGGTATGCCGGGAGCGTAGATATACGCGAGACACAATATGTTTTCTATTGTGTCTTATATGCCAACAGATAAGAGGTTAAAGTCAGTAAGTATCTCGTATACAGTTTAAATTTTCCGGCTTTCGACATCATTGTAAACTTACGCCTGTCCAGAGGAGTTTGTCAAGTTGTTGCTAAAATTATAAGTTGAGACTTGAGAGGCAAACTTTCCGGAGTGTTTGCAAATTCCTTCTTGTTTCATTAAATAGTTTCATTATTATGTTGTTACTCAGTTAACAACTGTTTTAGTGTTTATTCAGAATGTAATACAGTGCAGTACTGAGGTAGGTACTGAAATGTTAGTTTTATAAACTGTCTTTAAACCTCCTAGAGTTTTGGCTGATAATACAAGATTTGTACAAGAGTGAAATTGATTTATTGTTACCACTATTATGTTTTTTACCAAACAACTTTTCTATATCCTTGAACCTGTAGGGTCTTAAAATGTCGCGGAGAACCTAACAGGTAACCGGGGCTTCGGCTCGACGTGCAGGAGAAGCAACGGGGTGGTTTTTAGTCAGTGAGAGTCTGACACTCCCTCCCGCCTCACCCAGGCGGGAGCAGTCATTCGATGATTTTCCCACCTTAAAAAAAGGGTCTTAAACTGATGTTTTATTGTTCTTGGGTATAAGTAAAACTTGACAAATTTCTGAGAACCAGACAACGAATAGTTTCCATGATACCTTTATATTCGAGTCTTTCACCCACGTAGCATCTCCGAAGCACCCGTTTGCGATCTCGGCACATCCTGTACTTACTTAGATAAAAAATCCCTGAAAATAGGTATAGCTCATCATATGTTCCAAAAATAACAAAAACAAAACACTTCTATTAACTACATTGAGTGGTTTATTACTTATTGTTCCACACGATACAATATTATGTAAAAAATCATTAAATGTCTACTTTTTATAGTAATTATACGCATTACATAATTAAGGTACATAGAATGATAGGTACGAGAGGTGATCGGAAATTGAAAATGGATTATAGGTACAACACATCTTTGGTATAGGTAGCTTATTACTACTGTCTATTCTACTTGTTCAATTATCCTCTACTACTTAAAAGTAAGGAGGTACTAATTAAAAAATAATTATAATAATCCAGATGTAATACAGTTCGTTGACAACATTACATACTTCTATTCTACTTGTCCAGTCAGTAGCTGGCAGCTAGTAAGTACATAGGTGATAAGACATTTATAGATATCGACATCTTTAAATACATAAACTGTTCGGTGATTGTTAACCTCTTACTCAGTTTTCAATTTAAATGATACCTTGACAATTTAAATATAAATTGAACATATCTACAGAATGTTAAACAATGTTATGATAGTCTGATAAAACCAGGCAAAAATAGATACCTAAAATCAGTCTTTCATGAAATGCAGTATAAATTAGGTGTTGATTGATTAATACCGTAACTGACTAGTTTTGTGCCAGAATCAACACAACGTTAGCAAATAAAGAAATCACCTTTATTTTTGGGATTATATACGAGGGCAATGCAACATGGTTAATGGTAAACGTGATAAATTATATTATACGGCCCACGTTCCGATTGAATTATTGTGGTATAAATGTTGTGCAGTCACATTATTTTGATTACCATGTATTTGATTGCTTGCACTATACACGCTCGCTCTCTGTCGGTTGCGAGAGTAGTGTGACGTCACCCATCGGGTAGCTCTCGGTTCTTCTCGCACATCCCACATTCTTCGCTCGTTCTCTAGGGGTTCCACAGCAAAGTCTCTTGAGGACACACGCGTAGCACATTAGCAGAGAGAACATAAGAAGTAAACCGATGATAACGGTCACAACTAATAATATCCTGAGTTCTCCATTGGACTTGGAGTCGGCTACGCTCGAGTTCCGACTCATTCTCACAGCTCACCGCGTCCTCATCTGAAACAAAGAGTAGAAAAATCGTTTAAAATTGCTTTGTAACGTCGACGCTGGGGTACTTCAGCTGAAAGCTTCTGTAACGTGATTTTATGTTTTAATTCGGAATTTTGGAGACTCAGCGTAGCTAGGTGCTACGCCGTAGCAATTACTACAGGTCTCTACATTTCATTATAGGTAGGTACCCCTACACCCTACATGTTTCATGATTGTGTGTGATAATGACAATCAGACTAGATATTATAGTGAGTTTACATATTGTTGGTTCGAAATACTTACTATTTAGTTTCCTACATACAAAGGTACTTATACTGAGATACAACATACGTATACCTAAGTGTAGCAGCTATATACTGTGAGGAAAATGTGATTTTCCGATACATAGATTTTGGTTACAAGTTTAATTAATAAGATTAATTAGGAATCGCATTCATTAACGCTAAAGTCTTTAAGTCAACAAAGCTGACTTCAGACTAGATTAAAGATTAAAGTGGTTTAAGAAATTGTAGTCTTGGAATTGTAGAGAGATTTACTGGCACAATGGCGTTGTTTCGTCTATTCAGCGTGTTTTGCCGTAGCATACATATTAATGAAGACCCTATTGTTCGTATAAGTACCTTCGTAGTTTGAAACGTTCTTGTAGGTTGTAATGCATTAGTAAGAGTCTTCTACAAAATCCCGGTAAGCAAGAATCTGTTTGAAACGAGACAAATATTGATTTAAGTACGATTGAATGCAGAACGTACAGGAATGGTGAAAACCTTTTATCGGTTCCCGAACGCAAATCCTTTGTCAATTTCTCCGTGTCGTACCTATTTGAAAATGAAAAATGATCGGCTTTGGTATGTTACCCTGTATCTGTATTGTAGATGCTTTTGAATACCCTGAGGTAGGTACACTTTAGGTGATGTGGATTTTGTACGTGGATTTCACCTGTATCTGAGTTGAGTACATGTTTGTAAAATTAATGAGAGATTATTAAGTGTTCCATCCTGAAATTATGAAACTCAGGTGCGTTTAATCAGTCAATAGGATAGAGAGGGAGTGACTGTATTCAAGACATAGAAATAAACAAAAAAAAACATATCTAATAATATTTTGAACAAGATCCAAAATGGCAAAATAGTTTGTGCTAAGTAAGTAAAGTAGCGCAAAATATTTTATAAAATATCTACGTTCAAGTTTTTGTCACTTCGTCTCTAAGTAAGTACCCTACACAACCTCAGTTCGTATTATATCTCACGATAGATCCACAAACGTTATTCT